AAACGAACAAGTCCATTGAATGCTGGTGAGGCCCTAAACAAGGAAGTGACGTCGTTAATGAAGGTCCGCCTTGATGAGCGGTCTGACAGTTGGGAATTGCAAATTGAGTTTTCTTCCCCAACATGCAATGCAATTGCCGGCGACGCCATTGCTTTTGAATAAAGTGGCAAAAAACCCATGGCAATACGCAATGCAATTCAGTGCCTTGTTATTCTATTTATTATTCAAAATATTTTGAAATTAATTAAGGATTGCATAAGCACTTTGCACATTGAATTGCCGATTGCAAAATGTATTTAAAAATTACACGTTCAGATTAAATATTGAAATGACAAATGCATGCTCTGATTGAATATTGAACTGCCAATTGCAAAATGAATTTCCATTTGAATAAATTGGCAAAAAACCCATGGCAATACGAAATGCAATTCAGTGAATTGTTATTCTATTTATTATTCTAAATATTTTGAAATGAATTAAGGATTGCATAAGCACTTTGCATATTGAATTGCCGATTGCAAGATATATTTTCAAATTACATGCTCAGATTAAATATTGAAATGACAAATGCATGCTCTGATTGAATATTGAATTGCCACTTGCAAAATGAATTGCCATTTGAATTTTTGTGCTTATAATCTTCCATAGTACACTGGCTACGTTCACACTGCCATGCTGAAGTGACTCAAATTGGATTTTTTGCCTTAATGTGACACAGATCTGATCTTTTCAGGGCTGTGTGGACACGCAAATCTGATCACTTTCATATGTGGTACAAAATCTGATACGTATCCGATTCGCGGCCATGCGAAATGAATGTGAACGCTCAGATCGGAATTCATGTGGCTTTTTGCTTATACGCATGCGCTGACATCAGCCTGCACCGGCAGCGCAGGAAGGTAAAAATGGAGGAGAGCTGCGATAACAGTCAGTGGAAGGATGGAGAAGTTGGGGATTTAATTGATATTTGGGGAAATTAATCTGTTCAAGCTAAACTGGAAGGAACCTATCGTAATAGAGTAGTATTTGAAATAATTGCCAAAGAAATGGAACAGCGCGGACACGAACGTGGCTACAATGCCAAAGAAAAATAAAGAGCCTGAAGTCAAAGTTTAAGGAGGCAAAAGACTCGAATCAGCGCAGCGGTACGGTCATGGCCGCACAACGTACCAATTTTACAATCAGCTTTTTACCCGTGTAAAAACGTATCAATGTGCGCATGCGTGACGTTTCGGAGGACCGATGCGTTCACATTACAGTCAGATATAGGTCTCTTGAACCGTCAAGATAGACAAATCCGATCTGAGCAAAAAATCGGAATTGAAGGATGTGGCTGGCTGTGTGAACGCAGCCGCTGTTTAATAATAATGCAAGAATGTATTTATTGGGGGTTTGATTAAAGCCAAATTGGGGGGCTGGATACATCTACTCCCTTGATTTAAGTTGATTTATTAAAAGCAATTTGCAGTTTTAGTTTTCCCGTTCTGATTAGCGAATATTTTATTAATTCATTGAGTATTAATTAGCACTATTACTGCAGGATTTGTGAACATCTCCAGGATTTGTGAACTTTTGCCTGCTAATCACACAGCTTCTTAATCTTATCAATAGGAGAATTGTAATAGTGTTTCATAGTCTGCTCCTCATACCACATTTCAGCTGCACTTCCTTTTGAGGAAAATCTAGCCCAGCTGCGTCTATGGGAGGCGGGCCAGCAACTGATCGCCCGAGAGGAACAGCTGTTTGGTTCGCCTGGAGAGAAGGAGGCTGAGTGGGAAACAGAGGAGGCTGCACTGCGCAAGCACTACAAGGCCCTGCTCCTTAAGGTCCAGGAGGTGGTGCGGGACACCCTGGATTGCAAGACCAAGGAGAGCTCCCTTAAGTCAGCAGTGAGTGCCATCATGGAGGAGGAGAAGCAAGATCAACAGTGGCGTAAAGCAATGGAGGGTCAAGTGCCACCATGGAGGCCACAGGGGTGGAGACAGACCCACGATCGTATGCTGGAAGAGCTGGTGACTCTGCGGATAAACCGGCTGGACAAGGTGCAGGGGGTGGAGAACCTGTCCTCCAGCCTGAAGACGGACATCTGCAAGATGGGCAAACTGGTGAAGGATGACCTGCTGAGGGTTGTGCAGAACGTGAAGGACTGCTACCCAGAAGAGTTTGACATATGTAACCTGTATGCTAGGCTGTATCACCAGGCTTTCTCGGAACGTCTGCAGGATTTAGCCACGTCTCCCATGGAAATAGAGGACTGCACCTATTTCATCTCCTGGGTGTATGATCACTACCCAAAGTAAGCCAGTCGCCTTGTGTGTGGTGAATTTTATGCCTGTTTACTCTTTTGAATGTTTTATTCTTTAACAAGACGTCAGGCCAGTGTGTCACATGACTTTACTGGGGAATTCCTTGGTAAGACCCCACCTAGAATACTGTGTGCAGGTTTGGTCACCATACCTCAAGAAGGACATTGCTGCCTTAGAAAAGGTGCAACGAAGAGCTACGAGAATGATTCCTGGTCTTAGAGGAATGTCTTATGAGGAGAGGTTAGCGGAATTGAATCCGTTTAGCCTTGAGCAAAGGAGACTAAGGGGGGATATGATTCAGGTCTATAAGATTCTAACGGGTCTGG